TGAGCTCTGGAGCCGCCGGACAGATGGAGGAGATGGAGGAGCTCGTCACTCAGGGGTAAGACGATTTAGAAGCTTTTCACAGTTTTACCGCGGTTCTCCAAAGATGCATGGTCTACTGACGCTGCACTGGAGGAACACTGTACTTATACGAATTATGTTTGTAATATTTGCTCATTCTCACACTCGGGACTGGCCGCGGTTGCATTTTAGGGCCTTAAAGCGAGAGATTTCAATTATTCATAGAGCACTGTATACACTAAATGTGCGCTGGAGTCGTATGGATTAAATACTGTTCTGAGAGTTAATGCAGTTTTTATAAGGTTACCGTTTTATTCACTGTTGCAGCCACATGTTTCTCTGAGTGTGTTTTAAGCAGCACGATGTACGGCTGCTAGATTATGGAAAAAAATCATTATCACCGTTATTGAAACGATTATTTTTTTGTTACATGATGCTTTTATTCAGCATTTCTTTCTCAAAAAACACTCTGCAAAACTTTCAAACTGAAAATAAATATAGGCTACAAATATGAACCTTAGATGAGTTTTGCGATGTATAAAATAAAGAAAATAAACTCTGAACATGAAATAAGGCAGAAAAACATAAATCTATCCAAAATAAACTAGAGTATTTTCCGGGCTATTAGGCGCTCTGGATTATAAGACGCACTGTCATTGAATGGTCTATTTTCAAACTTTTTCACAAATAAACCGCACCAGACTTTAAATGAAACCCAACAGTGTGATGGGTGAGTGGTTTTGTTTGTTTGGTGCGTTCACAGTGACTCTGGGCTTTGTTCAGTTGTGGATGTAGGGAGGGTGCTGTCTGGGACCGCTGGATTGTCGGCGTGTTCACAGTGACTCAGTTGTTCATTTGTGTCTAGAAGGTTTCACTTTGTGGAAACCGTCTGACCTTGCAGCATTAGGATTTGCTCGCTCGACGGCAGGTGGATACTTTTTTTATTTAACCAGTCGTTGCTGTTTGGTCGTGACGTATGTAATGCGCCAAATCCCGTAGGAAGAAGGACAATAACATCTCTCCCCTTTATAAAATTCACCAAACATTCTCTTGGTTCCGGCTTTAAATCCTCGATCTTGTGAATGGTTGACAACACAGAATGTATGGCTCTTCACTGATTGGCTGGTGTCTTAACTCAAACTTCTGGAGTTTTTGCAAATGGTCTAGTGTATTCTGATTCCTGACCTAGTCACTGGAGAGAAATGAAATTGAGCGGAGGCACTAGGTAGCGCCAGCCTGGTTTGTAGTTTGCACCAAAACAGAGCAAAGGATCATGGTTGATGTAGTTCTCTCAGTTTTTGTTTTTTTTTTAGCTATTGTTGCACCATAACAATGAATTTATGCAAAGAAACTTGTGATTTGATATAATTGTGATGGTCCACGATATTATTGAGAGACTAGACAATATGATATCATGATATTTTGGTTATTGTCACCACTGTTGGGCAAGTGACTTTAAAACTGTAATGTGTAATTTATGACTTGTTACTGTCATTTCAAAGTAATTTGTTACATTACAATATTACTGTATTTAAAATGTAAAACATTACATTATTATTACATTACTTTTAAGTTACTCTCACCAAAATAACTGCGAAGATGCCGTATATGGACTGAACCAGGACTAAACCAAAACTAAACCAGGTCTAAACCAGGACTATACCAGGTCTAAACCAGGATTAAACCAATAATAAACCATGTCTATACCAGGACTAAACCAGGACCAAACCAGGACTAATCTTGGACTAGAACTTGGCATCTAGGGCCGCCCCTGAGAGAACCCCGAGCACAATCGGGCGTCAGCTGTGGTTCGCCCCATGGAGCGTGGAGTTTGGTCCTTTCGCTTACGGTCACCTGACGGTCTACGCGGGCGCACCTACAGCATTTCACCGCTGCTGATATCACTGTAATTTTAGCAAATTTGTACAAAGAAAAACGAAAAACCTTCCGCTTCAATCCAGGTTAAAAAAGCATTGTAACGCTTAAAATATTACCTTTTTTTCCTGTAATGCCACATTACTGCGTTACAGCAAAAAGCAACACATTACAGTAATTTGTTACTTTTATAATGCGTTAACCCCAACACGGATTGTTACACCCCTAGTTCTAATACTTCCACGAGTTCAGCAGTTCAGATTCCAGTCTTCTCTCAGATCTGAACATTTAATGCTCCTGGACGGCTTTAAATTGTGTACCTGTGATTACAAACCAAAATGGCAAATCACAATCACACTTCTTGTTAGAAAAATTGCATTTCGATTTTTCTCCCCAAAGTTGTTCCAGCCTCATCTCCATAATTTAAACATTTTCTGTTTCTGCTTATGTAAATCCCCGTCTGTTCGTCTTTGGCTCTGCTCCCCTGGCTCTGCTCCTGTCTGCTCCCCTGGCTCTGCTCCTGTCTGCTCCCCCATCTCTGCTCCTGTCTGCACCTGCCCGCTCCTCTAAACTGTGCCGTAATCAATGCTGAGAGTCGATCGGGAGCTGTTTGCCCTGGGGTGCTGTGAGTTGATGAAAATGATGAGGAAACTGAGCTCAAATACTAAAAACGAGTTCTAAACGCCCACTGTTCAGATCGTATCCACTGCCTGCAGCCATTTGGGTTTAGCGTTTGAATTCCTCTGCGCGCTGGAAGAGAGTTCCTACAAGTTTAAATGAACTTAATGTGAGATTTTGATAAAACAAAATCCATGTCCCCAGATATGAGATAGACACCTGTTTGTTTCTATACACGTGTCATAACTCTGGAATGTTCCACAGGATGACAATAAACAGCTCTGAGAGCATTAATGAGCCAATAAAGACACGCTGAACAAAAGAACGACACAAAAACAGCACTCACGTTTAACATAGACCTACACGTGTCAAACAAATCGCAGTGTGTCTCTTACGGGTAAAACAGAGGAGATGAAGAAACAGTGTCAAACTTACTCTATTTCCACCTGAAAATGCATCAGTTGTCCAGTGCAGGGCCTTTGCAGTGTCATATCATTTTTGTTTTTGGTTCTGATATTGTCATATTTTAGTTTTGGGATTCGGACATCGTAATGATGTGGTTGTTGAATCCTAACAGTGGAAAACAGGCTTCAGACGTTTGCAAACTCCATAAATGCAAAAGGGAATCAGATGTGTGTGACTGTAAACCTCTGTTCAAACTGTTTCTCTTCCCAGTGGAATTGAAAAATAGTGTAAGGTGAAGGCGATGGGCAGGACTGATCAACAGGAAGGACGAAAAAGGAAACCTTTGTCTGCCTAAGAAATCATCCCGAGTTTGCAGCGAACATTTTCTATGCGGAGCAAAGTGGGATCCCGTTTGTTAAAGGTTGTATGGAGGATTTTTTGTTTTTGTTTCAAATTTTCAGTGAAAGTTTAAAATACCATTACAGAGAAGCAACAGCCTTGTAATTATGATGGCCAAAAAAAAAAAAAAAAAGAATGAAAATCTATCAACTGTGGACGTAGTGAGGCCAGAAAAACATCAGCCAATAGAAAACAAGGCTCCCTCATTTTCTATTGCCTGTTAGGTCGTCAGTCAAACTCCCTATGTTTCTAGGGTAACTATGCAGTGGTTCTTAGAGGCTTTTTCAAACTGTAGCTTCCTCACAGTTCGCACAAAATTTGTCGCGATGGCGGACGAGAATCCACGACCAGTTCACCGCCAAAGAAAGTCGTTTTTTGAGATCGCTGAAAGAAGAAGAGCGAAGACAAACTGCGGTGATTCTTGGAGATTCCTTCCAGTGATGGCGCGAATGAAGTAGACGAAAGGTCTAAAAATGGAGGTGTTGGTCTCTAAATTATTTCTAGAGGGAGCTGTGGAGGAGGAAGGTGGTGTCACGCATGCACGACATTTGAAAAAGGACTGTTGCTGTATTTATCTTCCCTTAAAAAATCCTCTATACAACCTTTAAGTGAGAGGTACAGAAGACAAACAGGCTGAGCTGCACTTTCTTGTTCTTGTGGTTTTACAGCAACATCACGTCTTGGTCTCTTTGCAGTGGAAGGTGTTTCTTGGTGAACAGCTGGTGCCTTTCACTTTGGCGTTGACTTTTTAAATTCGTAACCAAGATGGAGCGAGGGATCAGGGTTTTGCTTTGATGGTGCGCCACATACAAAATGTTTACTGCAAACTCGGGATGATTTAGGCAGTCAAAGGTTTCCTTTTTCATCCTTCGTGTGGATCAATCCTGCCCATCACCTTCACCTTTCACTATTTTTCAATTTCGTTGGGAAACAGTTTGAACAGAGGTTTGCAGAGACACACATCTGATTCCCATTTGCATTTATGCAGTTTGCAAACTTCCTAAGCCCATTTCTCAAGCGTTTTCCACTGTTAGTCCAACAACCACACAGTTACGATGTCCGAATCCCAAAACTAAAATATGACAATATCAGAACCACAAACAAAAGTGATATGGTTCAGAAGATCGACTCTGTCAATAGACACATCCCACTTGAAAACAAACATGATGCTCATTTTTTAATCCTCCCAGTATGCATTGCGCGATGACTGGAAGTCTGAAACACGTCTCTGAAACATGCCTCTGTGTGACTCTGCCTGTGTTCTGGCTCCTGGTTGATAAAACGGTGTGTAAATGTGTAAAGTGTGACGTTTTGATTGGAGCAGGTCAAGGCTCACTTATGGATTTGGCCGTAGTCATTTCTTTCATGTGATGCTTTATGGTCTGAGGTCATTCCAGGAGGCCATTTTGAGGACTCGCCCCATGTGCCCTTGAGTTGATTTACACTCTGCCCAGCTTCATGCTGTCACCTTCAGGTCCCTGGGGTGTCTGGAAAGGTTAAAGTGCATGTGAGGTTTTCATGTTTTTCTAATTCTGAGTTTGATGGGGAGTTCCTGTTGTAAATCTTAGTATCGTTTTACATCAGTTGTTTGTGGAGAGGAACAAAAATACAGAAAGTACAGAGTATCTCTAACTATGTCTGCAAATGATCAGCTCATCAGTGCAGAAGAAAGACATTGTTCTTGTACTTTCCATCTTCCTTTAACAAATACAATGTTATTGTTATCAGTCTTATCATAAT